CGCCTCCGCCGCGATAGCTAGGCCGGCAGCAGCGGGTTGGGTTCCAAGCACCGGAATTACCTGGTGTTTAGGGTTTAGGGTTTAGGGTTTTAGGGTTTAGGGTTTTAGGGTTTAGGGTTTAGGGTTTAGGGTTTTAGGGTTTAGGGTTTAGGGTGAACAAACCACTTTAGGGTGCTGGTGTCACAACTACCCTAAACCCTAAACCCTAGTACGTCACGCTAAACCCTAGCCCCAAACCCTGAACCCTGTCAGCCTCAGCCCAAAACCTAAGCGCACTGTCGACCCCGGATTCTCTGAATAAGGCCAGCAGTAGGATAGCTACCTTAGAGGGTTCAGGCTAAATCCGAAATCCTAAACCCTAAACCCTGAACCCTAAACCCTAAACCCTAAACCCTAAACCCTAAGTATCAAACTACAGGATAAAAGGAGAGGTCACACACTCCTCTCGGTCGCACCTTTTGCACACTTCGAGCATGATGCCTTCGACGGGTCGTGACTTCACTGCAGCCCTTGTCTGCTACAGTAAACCATCCAGTGCCGATCACAAGCGGGTTCGCTTTCTTTGTGCTTCACACTGGTTTTATGTTCTTTCACTACAAAAATACTGGCTCGAGCTCTCCCGCCGACATCTATCGGCAGCGTGAGCTTGCTGGACACCATCTCCCACCATCGGCCTGGGTCCATAGGCTTTGTCAACACGTCCGCGAACTGCAGAGAGCTGGGCATCCACGCAAGTGGGAGTTTGCCATACCACTTTTCCCACCTGAGTCCTTGCCGAAGAGCTGCAAGATCAATCGCTAGCCGCCGATCACTCGGCACTCTGGGTACTCCTTCTTTATGAATATGATCATAAAGTGAACGGCAGTCACTCAGGCAGATCAAAGGGGTGGACGCCCCTTCGACTGTGATCAGCTCTCCTTTCGCGACCGTCTCGATGAAAGACCTCATATATTGTCCGGCTTCAAGGCCCTCCACACTGGCTTGTGTCTCCGCGCCAAATGTGCTTCTGCACACTCTTTGTCCAGCTCGTGACTTCCAATCCGTGATGGAGATGTTGCCCCGGTTCTCGTAGACGCAGTCGATCTCTGCAAGGACCACCAGGGCTCCGACTTGCGATGCCACCTTCGAGTTGGCCCTTTTGGCCTTTCTCTCCTTGGCGCTGTAGGGTCCCTCTTTCTGTAGTCCGGCCTCCTCGTCGGTTCCGTAGAGCTCAAACCCCGGTTCGTTCGCTTCCATGGCGTTCGCCCAGGCCGCGTCGTGATACGCGAGGAAAACGGCCTTCGAGAGGGGGATCGCCTTGAAGGTGAGCCCCTGGTCCTTGTAGGCGACGGCACGGTTCGCGATGGCGTTCGTGAACTTGATGTCTCCGTAGGTGGGCGCTTTCTGTAGTTGTTGGGCCAGGCTCACACTGCACGTCAGGTCTGGGCGCGTCTGGGCTGACAACCATGACAAGGCTCCGATCAGGCTCTTGTTGTCGGCAGCAAGTTCGGCGTTCGCGTAGTCCTCTTCACAAACTCCTCGTGGTACTTCCAACGTGAACAGACGGGTCTCGACGTACTTCTTTTGGGACACCCTCACTTCCTCGTCTTGTACCTCGATCTCGGAGCCAATGTAGTCGAGGTGGTTGACTTCCCACTTGTCGATCGGGAAGGTCTTGGAGAGCCCTTCCTTCACCTTTTCTCCAACCGACTTAGGAGCGATGACCAAGATGTCGTCCACATGGGTCGCCACGTAGCCGATGGGCTTGCCGACGTAGTTGTTGAGCTTCTTCTCCTTTAGCATGAAGATGCACGGGTCCAATGGGCACTGTACCCATCCGTAGATAGCACCGTCGTGTGTGATCGTGGTCTTGTGGATTCCTCGCTGAAGGTCTTCCCACCATTCGTGAGGAGAGGTAGCAAGGCCGAAGATGTTCTTCTTGATGATCACCAACTGTTCTGGTAGTAGCCCAGGGAATCCTGTTCCGGGTTGTTGTAGATAGAGCGGTTCCTCTCTGTTGAGGTAGCTCCCAGTCAAAAATGCGCATTGGATGTCTCCTGCGGCGACCTCCCATGGATCTGTTTCACGTAGTCCATTGGCCAACAGCTGCAGCAGACACATCAGGCCCGGCCGTGATAGCGTCGGCGCGTCGGTGGTGATCTCGCTCGTCCCGAGGTCCGGGTCGAGGTGGCCGCCTATGATGAGGCGGCTTTTGCATCTCCACTCTGGGTCCTTCCCGCTCTGTCTGGCAGCCCAGTTCTTATCCTTGTACGCCCACCGTGACTTCAACACGCGGTCGGCTGGGACTTTTTCTCTTATCTGTCGGCTTTCCTCGACAGACAGAGCCTGTAGCGCGTCGTAGTTGAGGTGCTCCAGCCATTGCTTTTTCTCGGCCTCCTTGAAGAGAGGTCGGGCCTCTGGAGGTATTTCACTCCACATTAGCTCTTTTTCCTGGCGTTTGGCGTGCCCCCTTCTGGTCAAGTCTCGCTTGACCAACATCACTTGATCAGCTTCGTCCTCATCCTGAGCTGGTCGCGTTTTCCTTTTTAGCCGTCGGGTAGGTGGCGGAAGAGGTGCGTCAATTATGGGCATCTCATGATCCTCGTCCTCGTGGACTTCCATTTCCGGGTCAAGCTCGATGGGGTTTTCTGGCTCCGAAAGCTCATAGTCAGACATGTGCTCGTCCGGGTGTTCACCCGGGTCTCCGCGTAGATCGTTCCCACCATCCTCGAAGACGTCGGGCTCATCGAAGTCCTCGGCGAGGAGGTTCTCGACCTCCTTCCGCATTCCTTTCATCGTCAGGTACTCTCCGACCTCTTCCACGCCAGACGGTCGAAGGTGTTCGGGTGCTGTGAGCCTGCACTTTCCACTGCGGGATATCCAGTAGTTGGCCCCTTGTCTCCCAACCACCACTGCAGGTCCCACCCATCTGCCACGGCGGCGGTCTTTTGGCTGTTCCCAAAAATGAACTGGGTCTCCGGTGTCGAAGTCGTGCTGTTGGGTCCGTGCTCGCTGTAGTAGAGCTCGTCGTAGTCGATCGTCCCCTTGGGCTTTGTGAAACGCCACTCTAGCACTGGCACGAATAGCCGCCATTCGCTGAAACTTTGAGTCCTTCGTCAAGTCCCAGCTGACTTCATCACCATCATCTGGTTCTCCGAGTTCGGGGGGTAGTCGTGGTAGTTTGCCGAACACCCATTGTGTGGGCGAATGTCCACACCGGCGGCGGAGTTCGTTCTTTGCTGCACACACAAGTGTCCCAGCGATCTCGACGTCGTCGGCTTCAAGGCTGAGGTCTTGTACCACGCGGTCCCATATCCCTTTGAACCAGCCTCCTTGACGTTCGGTGACTCCGGCTTGCCAATGCGCTTGGGCCGCAGCATCCTTTACTTTGATGTTGTGCCAATCACACAATCGACTTGTCCCACTCTGGATCTTCGGGTCGAGATCCAATGACACCATGTAGGGGGCACCGAACGGGTTGATCCAACTCGAGTTGAAAGCCTTCTCCACGTCCTCTGAAGCTTCCTTGTCCATCTTAGCCACCACATGGTACGTAGTGGCCCAATCAACCATTGAAAGGAAGGTGTGCCTCTGGTCGTTGATGTCGTGGACATAGAACAGGTCGATTCCAACGCATGAGTTGAAATCAAGGAGCCTTGGTAACGTGGTGGGCCTCGCAATCACCGGCTTCTTCGTAGACTGACATACCTCGCATCTCATCGATTTCACTGCTTTGAGGATGTGAGGTTCACATCCTGCAAGCCTGAGGTGTCGGAGTAGATCTTCTTGTCGTGGGTGTCCGAGGTTTTGGTGTAGTCGACGAAGCGCTGACTTCACATGTCCAGCAACGTTCTCACCGAAGGTTATTCCGCTTCCATCTAAGCGTGGTGGTCGTAGTTCATGTGGATCTTCGGCGCGTACTGCGTGGACTTCGTGGGGTCTTTTCCCATTGTGTCCTGGTAGAAGGCGTTGTCCCCTTTTTGCTCTTCGCATAACGATCCAGCCGTCGTCTCGGTCGGGGTCGTGGTAGCTGATGTAGTCTTTGAACGCCTCGGTCACGAAGTGTAGGTTCTTTCCTCTCAGTACGACTTCTCCTCCTTCACCAAGTTGTGTTCGTATGAGTTCAAGGACGAAGTCGTAGCACCGCTGCGGCATGTCGTCGAGGTGGACTCTGAGCTCTCGGGGGCTGGCCTTGGTGATGAATTGGTGTGCTCTTTCTTGCTTGTCCGGCTCGAGGAGGTCGCTCCACTCCATGGGCTCAATCACGGTCTTGTCCAACTCGACGGCTTCTAGGGTGCCCTCGTATCCTCCGATCTCCATCATCACAGTGGGGTCTGCGCTCGGTGTGGCTCCCCGTGCTTCCGCGATAAAGGTGCTGCTGGCAACCATGAGCATGGTGAAGAGGACACTGAGCTTTCCGCCGTGTTGGCTATCTCGTTCCGCTTGGCTTTGCGAGGCATCGCGGGGGGTTTGCTGTCGGTAGCGCGAGTGGATGACGGCTTCGGCATCGGGAAACCGCAGTTCTTGAGGAACTTCTTCACCTGACTGCTCCCTCCATCTTGTTGTCGCACTGTGTGGAACACCAGTCCCCAACGGTCACCTGTCCACGGCTGAGGAAGGGGTCGAAGTCGATGAAGTTGTGGTGGGTGTCGTGGTGTTTCCCTGGTACCCAAGCGCCTGTTTTGTCTCTTCGCCAATACACACCCTTCTCGTTGACGGTCTCTTCCTCGGGATCTCGAACCTCTAGCCACAGTCCTCCTCCGCTCGTTTGCCCAAAAGTCACGCAATGGTTGAAGCTGCCGCGATCGTTGTGGCTATCCCGGTGTAGGCCCGAGCTCACATTCTTGGTGACAGAGATGGAGGTCCAGGTGGCTCGGTCACCAAGATGGTACTTCGCAAAGCCGTTGAGGTAGCGCACAAGGTCGCTTTGATCTTTCGTGGCGGTCGTTATCCCGCGAACTCCTCCATGGGTGAACATCCCGTAGGTGATGTAGGCCTGGTCTCCGTAGGAGTGGTTGTTGTCACACATGGCCCTCGTCGGTCGAGTCGGTAGCCATTGCTGATTCCAAGATCTCCAAACATGTGGCGTAGGTGAAGTCACTGTCGTGGTAGGCGGTCCGCGCTTTGTTCGGGTCCTCGTGGGGCTTGCCAGTGTCGTTTTGCCCTTCCCCAGGGTCGGGCTCGTTGTGCTCGTAGTGCTTGTTGACGTACACCTCCTTGACCTTGTTGTAGGCGTCCTCGAAGTCCGCATCGGCAATGACCTCCTGTTGGAAAATCTCGGCACAGCACTTTCCCTCCTGGTATTGGTTCCGACCACGGAGGGCTTTGTCGGAACCGGGTTGCGGGCTCACTGCCCGCTGCTCTTCGCCTTGTCCTTCAGCAGGGCAAGTCGGGTCTGCAAGATCTGGATCTCCTCTAACACCGCCGGGTCCACTTCGCTCTCCATGGTCTTGTGCTCCAGGGGCTCGTCCTCGGGCTTGTTCCTCTTGGGCGTCACCGTCTTTTGGTTTCCTTTCCCACTCTTCTGAGGCGTAGTCGACACTGCTTCCCAGGATGCCGTCGACGAGCTTGTTGGGCGCCCTTTGTAGTTGCGGTTCACTGCCGCGGGGTGGGTGTCCGGCCGCTCTGTCAACGGTGTCGGGTACCCGCTCCTCATACTGGACTCGTCGTCGGGGAAGGGCACCGAGTTGTCCGCCGTCTCCACACCGTAGGTCTGCATCTTCTTCATGGTGCGCTCCTTGTGGTACCACTTCGCAAAACGGACTAGGTCGGGGCTCGCATTGTCGCTCCGGTTCACTTCCATCACCGCCCATTCCCCATAGGACGTCGGCACCTCCTGGAACTCGAAGCCGCGGTATCTGCCGAACGTCACCAGCTCGTTCCCCGGCGTGTTCACATTGTCCCTGATCAGGCGGAGCAGGTTCCCTTTGGTGATCCCGCTCGGGTAGTGGATCGCCATGGAGTCGGCCTTCGCTTTGAGCTCGGGGAGTGTCAACCCTGCGAGTCCTCGCATGGCAATCTTCCCGTCCTCGTCTTTGTGGTTCTCCCGGTACTCGCGGAGGATCGCCTTCAGCTCTTCGTTGGACCACGTTCGATGGACCACCAAGCCCACCCTTACAGCCTCTGCCAGGAGCTCGGTCTTGTTCATCTTGCTCAGCGCGGGCACCGTGCATGGCTGAGAGCTCATCGTCACGAGGAGCTTCGGACTTGTCGTTGCTAGGGGCAGTCTTGTAAAAGACAGATCTTCCAACCCAAAGTTGCGGGAACGTGGGTTGTTCGAACTGACCTGGGCACCAATGGTCTAACACTTGCTCGTTCCACCTTCCGGTGGAGCAACAGACGCTCTCTGTCATCCTAGTCTTCCCAATCATGGCAATCAACATGTCCTGCTGCATAGACGCTGTCGTTCTCCAGTTTGAGGGGTTGAAAAAGGGCCCTTCGAGGAACGATATGTACTCTTATCCATGCATCAGGTGTCTCTAGCCAAAAATCACGATCAACTGCGGTTTGCTTCCACCAGGTCCAGTAGGGGTCTTGGGCTAAACGATCTTCACTGAGTAGGTTGCGAACTGCAGGATCAAGCTTCTTGGGCTGGAAAATACCTGTGAGGTCGGGCTTCAGGGGGCCTTGGTAAGCGACGGCGAAAACACTCATGTATGACTCCTTCGGCGCAAGCTCAAGGTCTTCGATCTCCAGTGCCGGTGTTGTACCAGCGCTGGCCCTGGCGGGAACGATGGGAATCGCAGGATGTCCGCTAGCAGTGGACATCAGCTCGAACTGTCTGAGGCCCACCTTATTGAAGTCGGCTCTCATGTTTTCTACATCGAACACCATTCCGAGCTTTCCAAGCACTCCCTTTGAGAGTAAAAGAGGAATATCCCCAGTGATTATGCTGGTCCTGACCTTCACGATCTTGTCGCCGAGCTCGAAGCAGACCACGACATAGAACGACGAGACATGCACACGCCCTGTACCGAATCGGTATGCCTCGTTTTCCTTGTGCAAGGTGGGCCTGTCACCGTGCTCGGCGATGGCGTCGGCGTAGGTCTGCAGCCACTGGGTACCTGCCACGGTTCGCGAGCAAGCTGTATCGGCGACTCCGAGTAGGACGTGAGGAACATGTTTGAGCGCATAGACACTCGCAGGCAGAACTGTTGTCATAGCCACGTCCCTTGTGTCCTTCCCAATTCGTCCTTTGTCGCTGCTGTCGGGGTTCGCGTGGTTCTTGCCGTTGCCACCCTGGTTGTTGGGGCATTCTGCGTCCTTGTGCCAGTGGCCTCTCCTTCCACATCCGCTGCAAAAGGATTTCATCTTCATCTGCTTGAGCGTGTTGTCGTGCTCCGGGTCCCGTGGGCGATCACCTTCTCCTTGGTAGCCTCGGGCGCGTTGCTGGCTCTTATACTTATCCTTGGCACTCCTGAACGTGACCCACGCTTGGGCCACTTCCTCGGGGATCCCGTCTTCCTCGTCGGGCTCATCAAGGACGTCCTCATCGATGCCGGCGAGGTCGTTGGTCATGTTGGCGTAGTTGGTCCTTCGCCCCTTGGGATTGCTGTTTTCCCATGGTTTCCGGTGGCCACGGTCATGTAGCACTGCTGCTTGCTGGAGACGAAGGAGATCGTAGCGGTTTCCCACACTTGCAAGTAAATTAAGTTCTTGTGGCTCATCTAGCTGCAAGCGGTCTATATATACCCAAGCTGCACATTCTTCTGGTAAACAGCATCCGACTTCACGCAATCGCCCATAAAGACGGTCGTACTCGCTGTTGTACTCGCGTACCGTCTGATTGGGTCGCCTCCTCAATTTCCTGAAGAAATCACTCAGTGCTCGCCCAATCCTTGTAATCTCGAGGTCAAGGAAGCGCGCTGTAACCCACGAAACCAGGTATCCAACTCCAGTGTCCTCGCCGAGACGTGCTAGGCTGAGCTCCTCGGCTGCAATCCACGCTTTGCCTGACAGGTTCTGGTACAAGACGAGGGCTTGCTTGTTGGGTGGCAACATAGTCATGCGCTTCCATGCTTCAATCTGTCGCAAGTACGACCTGGCTGATCCTCCCAGGTCCTCGCTGTCCTCGGCGTTGAACGATGGTACCTGGAGGCGTTCCGAGGCTCTCATTCCCGGTCCTGATTGTCCGCTCTTGTAGTAGGCGTGGTCGACGAAGAACTCCTTGCTCTTCCCGTTCCAGTTGTGGCTGCCCTCTTCCTCGAGCTTGGCGTACCAAAGGTCTTCAGCCTTCGGTTCCCATTTCCCTCTTCCGCGGCCAAAGCTGCCGCTTTGCTGGTGTCCGCCTCGTTCTTGGGGTGGGTCGTGCCATCCGGAACGACGGTCTCGACCATCGGCCTCGGGATCTCCATGAGGTAGCCCCTGTGCTCGCCACTCGCGCCACTCGTCCTCGTCGCCCTTGTGGTAGTCCTGGCGGTGGCGTTCTCGGTCCTTTCTACCGGTTGTCCATGGGTCTTCGCCTTGGGCCCACGGGTCTTCACGATGGTGGTCGCGATGTCCGCGGCGTTGGCCATCTTGGCTCGAAGGTGGTAGCACTGTGCTCCCAGCTTCCCAGCTGGCACGGCGCTCCCACTCGTAGTGCTGTGCCGCTGTGTCTCTGGCGTAGTCCCCTGTGCTCCACTCGTCACCCCTGAGTGAGCTAGAGGCTCCAACCCTTTGACTCCTTGCAGAGTCACTCCACTCTCGCCGAGTGGCATCGCCATCGTCACGTAGAGGAACTCTCCTCTGGCAGGCCATGGGGCTTCGTGCTCCGAGCCTGCATCCTGAGTGCTGGCAGTTGAACGATCGGGTACACCTTGGTTTTGACGAAAAGCAGGCATCGGAAGATCACCTGGAGGTACTACAGGAACATCGGGCTCGAAACCAGGCGGGGGGTCGATGTCACGTCCGGCCATGGCTACACTACACACGAAGGTCCTAGGAGCCCGGAGGCTCCGCTACCAGTATCAAACTACAGGATAAAAGGAGAGGTCACACACTCCTCTCGGTCGCACCTCTTGCACACTTCGAGCATGATGCCTTCGACGGGTCGTGACTTCACTGCAGCCCTTGTCTGCTACAGTAAACCATCCAGTGCCGATCACAAGCGGGTTCGCTTTCTTTGTGCTTCACACTAAGCCCTAAACCCTAAACCCTAAACCCTAAACCGGGTTTAGGGCTTAGGAGCTGAGGGCCTCTAGGGCTTACGATGCGAGGTCGCAGGGTTGATCCTTGACTGCCCTGCTGCTGTTGCCAGGTCTTTAGGGTTTAGGGTGTTTGAGGGTTTAGGGTTTTTGAGGGTTTAGGGTTTTTGAGGGCTTAGGGTTTTTGAGGGCTTAGGGTTTAAGGTTTAGGGTTTGACACGAGTGCTGGTACAGTGTCCTAAATTAGGGGATCTACTTTTTAGATCCTTCCTGGGCAACCCTAAACACCCAACTCCACGCCCTCTGAAGCCGAATCTGGTAGGCAGCCAAGCCAATCACTCTGACTCGAGCTTTTGGGTTAAAAACAACTAAAAGTATAGGGTTTAGGGCTTAGGGTTTAGGGTTTCCTCGTTCATGCCCCTGGCTAGCAAGTCCCGTGAACCTCTCAGTGCGCAGCCTGTCGATCCCTTATCGATCCCTGACAGGAACCCTTCAAGAAACCCTGAACCCGGTACCCTAAACCTCAAACCCTAAAACCCAGAGGTCCCTTGTCATAGACCCCTGAAAGGAACCCTTAAGGAACCCTTTAAAGGAACCCTAGACCGTTCAGGGTTTAGGGTTTGGGCCCAGGGGAACCCTAATTCAGGAACCCTTCTAGATCCCTTAAAGGAGCCCTTTAAAGGATCCCTCTGAACCTTATTCCAAAACCCTAAACCCTATACTAAAAGCCTCTACTAAAACCCTAAGCCCTAAACCTTCAACCCTAAACCCTAAACCCTATACTAAAGCCCTAAACCCTAAACCCTAAACCCTCCAAACCCCTAAAACCCTAAACTCTACACTAAAACCCTAAAACCCTAAACCCTAAACCCTGTACTAAAACCCTAAACCCTATACTAAAACCCTAAAACCCTAAGCCCTAAACGCTATACTAAAACCTAAGACCCTAAACCCTAAACTCTATACTAAAGCCCTAAACCCTAAACCCTTTCCTAA